GTCCGACCACTGCTTCGCAGGTTTGGTAGCCTTGATTTTATGTAGGCTTAAACCTGCATCGGTTGATGTACCGGTACAGATTTCACTCAACTGATGCTTTGAAATTTCTGACGCCCTACATATGTCAAGAGCTTTATTAAGATCTAAGTCTTTAGTCCTTAAAAGTCTGTCTTTCACTGCCCTATCTTTAATGCCTAACACAATCCTGTCTTTAATAAGGCTATCTGTTAATGAACCAAAATCACAGGTTGAACTTAAATCCCTGAGGTCAGTCACATACTCATCTATAGGCTCATTGTCCTTTTGTTCTCTTAAAAAGAAATTGTGTCTTTCAAAAGTTACGTTAACTTCAGGCAAAAAGTAGTTATCAAACTTGCTAAGAACATGTTTTAAGTCTTTAGCCGATTCTGTACCAGTGTAAGTGAAGTTATTGAATACTTTCAAAGCCCTATCACCTATTATGCTTAAAAGCAAAGATACTTGATATTCTGAGTCTTCATTTTGAGATTTTGATGCAACAAGATATATTTCGAATTTCTGTCGGAAAAATTTCCAATTTTCTCCTAAGTTACCTGACCATTGAAGTTCTGATGGCGGTCGAATGTGAGGTGCACTACTTGAACTTTTTACACTGTGCCCTTTAACATCTATCTCCTCTTGCTCAATATTACCTTTAGGCATTTTTATTCCTTTTTATGTATAGTGGCTGTAACATTACTTTTAATTTTGACTGCGCCATATAATGATGGGATGTTTTAATAATAGTCCCAACTCAGTTACAGCCATTTTATTAAGTTCAATAAGTAACAAAGAGATCGAGAATTCAATTGGTCTTACTTATATAGACTCGACATAGAGTATCAAACTCAACTTAAATAATAATAAAACTTAGAATAAGAACATACATATATGACACACATACAAAATTAAAGCACGAGTACCTTGGGAAAACTGTACACATCGTAAATTAAATATAAAGTGTGTCCCCAATCGTATCTTTACAAGTACTTATAATAACACCTGCTACTTTTGTAACTGTTGTGACGGTAGGATGCGACTAGTGTATCTCAGACCTCAGGACTTTTTTATGAGGTCAGGGTACTCTAGTCTTACTAAAAGTGACGTGATCGTGAAATTCCAGAGAGTTGAAACCCTACTGAGGCTGATTTAGAACTATTTCCTCTTCAATCAACTAAGGATGAATCATGTGATGGAACCGTGACCCGTAGGGTCGGATCTCATCCTAAGTTTTAGGGTCACTTATCAAGTAAAAATGATAAGAGTCCAGGGTAAAAAGGTCTCTGTTGGTAATGTAGAACCCCTCTACGATAGGCAAACATTTGTTCTGTCGCTAGAAATATCGTAGTAGCAAGCCACATTGTTAAGATGTGCCTTAATCACGTAAATTACTTCATGTTAACATTATTGGTGTGAAACCAAACCAACAACAAAGAGCACAGGTCTGACACTTTGTTGGGTTTAATTTGGCTACAGCCAACACCTGATTGCTGACATATGCACTTTCATTTAGAGTTTGTTTGTAACGTTGAACTTGGACTATATATATCCCTCAAGTTGTAGCCCAGCGCATTACCTCCAGATCAATAGAGTGCTATAGATCAATTCAACAGTTAAATTAAAATAAATTATAATCTGTGTTGGAATTCAAACCGATCATAGTTGTACTGTTTAATCTCATTACGATATATTTCAGGCGTCATCAGATCAGATTTTTTGCTTCGCTTTTTATCTTCACTTTGAATTGGCATTACTTTGGACTTTTAAATATTAATAACCAGGGAAATAAAAAACCACGCTGATTAATACACAGTATATGATTAAATTTACAATTAAATTATACTCTGTATTACTGTAGAATCTTTTGTGTGTCGTTAGAGTGGATAGTAGAAGAGTCTTAAGACTTGAAGAGAATAGCGGAGGCAAATAACGTAGAAAGGGAAGTGAGATGCTCGTACTGGGAACGTGACAACGTGTCATTGCCTTCGCTGGGTATCCAGTGTTATCCAGTACCAGCGCCGTTAGCTGGTCAGTGGTCATCTCGCGGCCTTGCTAGATGACGTCACCGGGCAGTTCCCGTCTACAGCGAACACTCACCGTTTCCGGGAGATTTGAACGTTTATGGCCCACGCTCCCCGCCTCATTCTAGAGTATTACTCGGTGTGATGAGTATTCTGGGAAATAAGATTCAGCAACTCTCTGTTGTGGCCACAGGTTACAGCCAAATCATTTGTTGATGAATTTATTGACTACCGTTGACCTCAAAGAATAAACTAAATGTGGAATCTTTAAATAAAAAAAAAAAAAAAAAACAAGTAAAATTGTATAGGCATACTGAATAGCTTGAAAATATATTTGTAGCAATATGTGATTGTAGTAGGAAGCTATCGTAGTAACTGGCGGCTGGTGGTAACAATGGTAAGACTCCGTGTCTTATCTCTGTGAGCGCCAATCATAAACTGATATCGGGTCATAACTCTTTATATCTCTATCAAACAGCCACAGCCACTGACAGTTATATTGGTGTGACTCCATGTCTTATCAGTGAGTGACCTTCATGATCAGATATTGGGTCGTAACTCTTTATATCTCTATCAAACAGCCACAGCCACTGACAGTTATATTGGTGTGACTCCATGTCTTATCAGTGAGTGACCCTCGTGACCTGATGGGTCGTAACTCTTTATATCTCTATCAAACAGCCACAGCCACCGACAGTTATATTGGTGGGACTCCATGTCTTATCAGTGAGTGACCCTCATGACCTGATATTGGGTCGTAACTCTTTATATCTCTATCAAACAGCCGCAGCCACTGACAGTTATATTGGTGTGACTCCATGTCTTATCAGTGAGTGACCCACATGACCTGATATTGGGTCGTAACTCTTTATATCTCTATCAAACAGCCACAGCCACCGACAGTTATATTGGTGGGACTCCATGTCTTATCAGTGAGTGACCCACATGACCTGATGGGTCGTAACTCTTTATATCTCTATCAAACAGCCGCAGCCACTGACAGTTATATTGGTGTGACTCCATGTCTTATCAGTGAGTGACCCTCATGACCTGATGGGTCGTAACTCTTTATATCTCTATCAAACAGCCACAGCCACCGACAGTTATATTGGTGGGACTCCATGTCTTATCAGTGAGTGACCCTCATGACCTGATATTGGGTCGTAACTCTTCATATCTCTATCAAACGGCCACAGCCACTGACAGTTATATTGGTGGGACTCCATGTCTTATCAGTGAGTGATCCTCATGACCTGATATTGGGTCGTAACTCTTTATATCTCTATCAAACAGCCACAGCCACCGACAGTTATATTGGTGGGACTCCATGTCTTATCAGTGAGTGACCCTCATGACCTGATATTGGGTCGTAACTCTTCATATCTCTATCAAACGGCCACAGCCACTGACAGTTATATTGGTGGGACTCCATGTCTTATCAGTGAGTGATCCTCATGACCTGATATTGGGTCGTAACTCTTCATATCTCTATCAAACGGCCACAGCCACTGACAGTTATATTGGTGGGACTCCATGTCTTATCAGTGAGTGACCTTCATGACCTGATATTGGGTCGTAACTCTGTATATCTCTATCAAACAGCCACAGTCACTGACAGTTATATTGGTGGGACTACGTGTCTTATCATTGAGTGACCCTCATGACCTGATATTGGGTCGTAACTCTTTATACCTCTATCAAACAGCCACAGCCACTTACAGTTATATTGGTGGGACTCCATGTCTTATCAGTGAATGACTCTTATCACCTGATATTGGGTCGTAACTCTTTATATTTCTATCAAACAGCCACAGCCACTGACAGTTATATTGGTGGGACTCCATGTCTTATCAGTGAATGACTCTTATCACCTGATATTGGGTCGTAACTCTTTATATCTCTATTAAACGGCCACAGTCACTGTCAGTCATATTGGTGTGACTCCATGTCTTATCAGTGAGTGACCTTCATGACCTGATATTGGGTCGTAACTCTTTATATCTCTATCAAACGGCCACATCCACTGACAGTCATATATGTGTGACTACGTGTCTTATCTCTGTGTGTGACACCTACGACCTGATATCGGGTCGTAACTCATTACTCTTTATATCTCTTTCAAACAGCTACTGGCGGTTAGTTATCCATAACGATATAACAACAATATAAACGTTATATGTTCCTTCCATTCTATATTGTATTGGTGAGACTCCGTGTCTTATCTTTGTGGGTGGCACACATGATCCGATATCTTTTATTAGCTCTGCTTTATATGATCACATATTTGCATTTACTGACAGTTGCACTGGCATAATAATGTTTAAGTATATTAACTGATTGAATTGTGATTAGTGGTTTATGAATACCATTGCGTTTTTTTAAGCTTGCTGTATTTGGATTAGATAGTTAAATACATCGAGAGAAAACCCTACAATAAATCCCTAACACATACAGCTTTTCCCATCATCGGATTTCTACTGTCAATATGCAGTAATAGTTTGCATTTATGCACTTTTTTACTTACCGTGTTCCTCTTATTTTGAAATGACGTAGTTGTAGTAGATGTTGTTGCTTCTGCGTTGTTTTCATGTACGTATAGTAACAACTATTAATTTTGTCTCGAACCTTGCACTGACCTTTATCAAGCGCTTTTGAATATTACAAATTTTAAAGATAATAATGAATAAATGAGGCAAGGCTCTGTGTTGTAGGCCCTAAACAAAACAGTCAAAGACTTAACCAATGGAATCGTGTAATCTTGTTTTTCCGTAAACTGAAAATCGACCAGTTAAAATAAAAGAACAACAATCGAAATCAGCGCATTCAAACGTTACAGATATGAAACACACATCGGAACCACGTTTAACAATATTATAACCCCAACTATTATCACTGCCTGTGGTGAGATTGATTGTTTGTGTTGAGGTAATTAGATGTTCTAATTAGAGTATGTTGTTGCAGCCTGCGGAGAGGGCCCGGGGCCAATGTGCAGGACAGTAGCGGCTACTCGGCCCTGCACCACGCGGCACTCAATGGCCACAAGTGAGTACCAGAACACTATTTATTGTGTTAGTAGTTTGTTATTATTTTAATGTTCCACATGCACATCCTAGGACGCTACTGGTACTGTTTTACTCTCTTCTCCAGTCTACGTATAGCTGGGCAGCGGCATTATCACATATTAAAGTCATTTAGTTTGGGGGATTTTAACTGGAATCTCGTTGGTAGACGATTCGTGCTCTGCCACTAGACCAGATTGCTTCACTCGTATTCATAGATAGTATTGTATCAAATCTTTATGTTATATATTAACTAAAGAACATTGTTCAATGGAACATTCACCCAAAAACGTATTACACAGAAAATTAGTCGGTGTTTCAGTTGTTCACTTTTAACTTAAAGCTGGCTACAACTATATGCTACAACTTTTACATGTAATATTTAGCTCTATCCGTAACCAAGGATTGAATGTTAGTAATGAGAATTTCCTGCTCAGTCACTCTTTCTACCTCATTGTTCCATTCCATTTGTAGAATGCTTTCATTCTTTTACATTGGTAGTGCCAACGCTGAAGGTACCTCACAATTATATTTTTAAGACGTATGCAAGTGATTTCGTCGAAGAGAAAAAAAAACATAAGACATCCTGAGAAGTTCAATATCCACTCAGTAGTGCCGTTTTTCCGTGGGGGGTGGCCAGTCCGTCCCCGGCTCAAAATGTACAAGCAAATCCTTCACCTGCATTAGTTGTTTCAACAGTTATGATTTTCAGAAAACTTAAACTAATATGCCTTTAGCTGACCAAGACGTATATTAAGGGGAGAAATGGGTGAATCCCGCCCTATTTTATTGTTAAGGGTGAACATAGTCACTCATAAAACATCTATAAGAAACACTGAAACGTGGCAGTGACTGACTGATATCTCAGATAGTGACATTGGATTGGCCAATAGCCAGTCCCCAGATACAATATAGGCGAAATGTAGGTGGAGGGTCAAGAGACAGGTTCCATCATACAGAGTAAGGCAGATCAGTACTTGCTGTTGTCGCTACTATGGCTTTCCACAAAGCTCGGATGAATCCAAGGCATTATATTTGTAAACAACATCAAAAGAAATATCCGGAGAACCAGACAGAAAGAGTTTCCGTCGGCCCTAAAAAACAGTTGCTATTTTGAAATTTTAGAGAAGTGAAAGACGAAACGGATGGAGGAGTTACCCAGTAACTATTTTTTTTATTCATGACTCAGGTGACTTTCATTCCCATTGGTGGTGTTTGCAACCGAAGAACTTTTGAAGTTCTTAGCCACATCGGGAACATGGTTCATAGATGTAACTTTCAAAATGTCCTCAACTCCTCAAATCAGTTTGAACAACTATTTCAGGTGAGGAGAGGAAATAACAACAGAATAAGGACTTGCATATACGCCCTGATGACAGGAAAGACAAAGAAACTACATTATAAGGAAAAGTGTAGTATTGAGCCAACTTCCGAGATCAACAATATTGACGATGGATTTCGAAGCAAGCGTATTAATTATTGTTTCCAGTATCCCTGGCCCCCTGCCAGTGTAAGGGAATGTTCTTTTTTCATTTGTGACAAAGTACATGGCGACGTATTCAACAGAACAGTGTCACTACAGCATACAAAGATACAAAGTTGCACACTTCTGTGATTAGTACCTGGAAATAGATATGATGATAGAAAGATAGGGAGATGGAAGGAAAGGGAAGTCATGTGGTAGCAGAGTGTTCTATGAGAGCTAAGAAGGAAGAGTAGGATGTTCATCGAATGGGAAAGCCACAGGATTAAGGATTATATTGGTGTGGATAGGTGCTTTAAGTGCCAAAGGTTTGGCTATGTAGTAAATTTTTGCACGAGTGCCAGGCCGAATTGCTCACGATGTGCAGGAGAGCACGAGTTCAAGAATTGTAAGGAGAGGGATAAAGAGAGGGTGAAGTGTGCCAACTGTGGTAAGGAAGGGAGACAGGATGCAAACCACCCAGCTAGCTGAAGAGGCTTTCCGTTGTTTAAAAGGCAGTGAAGAGAAACAGCGATCAGATAGATTATGGAGTGTAGGAAAAAAACAGATAAATGTTATAGGAGGAAAGATTATGATGTAAGGGATGGTGAGAGTATGACGTCAGGAAGGCCTGGAGGTGATATTGATTCAAGAGCCCTACGTGACTAGTGGACAAATTAGAGGATGTGAGGAGAAATCATTTTTTGACAGGATATAAGTAGCCTATATAAGAAGTGCCGTAATAGTGTTGGAAGACTCAGTTGATGCCATAATGGTCGTACAGGAAACATACGTTTCATGACGTAAGTGTAAGACTAGAGAGAAGAGGGGAGGCAATAAAAGTGGTTAGTCTATACTGTCGGCCTTCAGAAGTAATAGATGGACATAGGAAAGTAGTATAGATAGTCCGGAACAACAGAGGGAAAGGAGCTATCATTGGAGGGTATTTCAACGCTAAGTCGAGGTCAAAGTTGAATGATAGGACCGATAGAGGAGACCGAAGAAATGGTCGAAATATGTGAACTTAAAATATGTGAACTTGAAATAGGAAACAAATGAATTCGCTGGACTACTTTCGAAAACTCTCAAATGTCGAATGTAACCTTGGGCACTAGGAATCTGGTTAGGAAACTCATAGGTTGGGAGATTATGAAAGAAACAATGAGTGGACTCCTCCTCGTTCAATTTTAAATAAGAGAAAGAAGGAGAAAAAGAACGAATAGAAACGTAGGTAGCAACTAAATTACGTATTAAACGCAGTAGCAAGTAAATTGGGTGAGATTTGATAGAAAGCTAGTTGAGGTGGTGGAAAAAACAACAATGGGAAATTAAGGAGGTAGAAGAATGTTTTCAGGAGCTACAGGAGATAATCAAAGACGTACGGGAACATGAAGTACCGAAATCAAGGAAAGATCAAAAGAAGGTGCATTGGTGGCCTGAGGCAATTGAAGAAATGAGGATGTGAAGATGTGGAAGAGATGGATGAGGACAAGGACAGAAAGAAAATAAGAGCGTTAATCACAGTGAGGACAGCATACGGGTGAGAAATAAGGAAGGGAAAAAGAAGTGCATGGCAAAAGCTTTTGGAAGAGGATGGTGAAAACGATCCATGGGGAAGTCGTATAGGATAATAATGGAAAAAAACTAAGAAGGAACCCAACTTGGTCAGCATGGAGAAAGAGGATGAATGATACACGATGATGGTAGATGAAACGCTTGAAAGAATTTTGGAAGGCCAACTGCCATACGATAACCAGAATGAGGACACAGATTATCAAAGGATGGTCAGAGAACAAATCAGTGTAATGTAAATATACAGCGAGCGACCGAAGGAGCCGTTATTTAGAGAAGAAGAACTCGATGAGGAAGTAAAGGAAAATGAAGAACAGAAAATCCTCAGGGTATGATGGAATTAAGATAGAATGGGAGAATAAAAGGGCATCTGCTCACCTTGTTCAATTGGATGTTATTGCAAGGAAGGTTTCCCTCGGTTTGGAAAAAAGGTGTGGTCAAGATTTTCTTGAAGAGCGAGGACAAAGACCCAAGCGTCGTGAAGTCATACAGGCCAGTGACACTGCTCCCAGTGTTAGAAAAGGTTAGAGAAAAGCTAACTGTCAGAGAAGAATGAGAAGATGGATGAATGCGGAGGATCTCTAGAGCGAAAAGCAGTATGGATTTAGGGAAGGAACAGTGGACGAATTAATGAAGGTAAGGAAGGCCTTCTGCAATAGATTACCTGTCGCTCCCTCCCAAGGGGATTCCGGTAATTACCATGGCTGCTGGTTCGGAAACCGTGCGGAATATGGATGCAACTCGTAGTAAAGTTGGTCATGATTCGTACACTTCGGTTCGTTGTTCAAGAGCCTAGGCTTTCTAGCACCATCAAGATGACTTATAGAACAGCAGACATCAGTAGGAGGCTTTTGTACGAATGAAGACTACCAAAGTTCGACATGAGCCTGTGACTGTGAATAATTGGCTTTGTCAGCGGCTTATCTTGCGTCAACCATAATAACATTATGTTTGGCGGCCAGCTAAGTGTCGAACTCGGAAGTGGCCAATCTGAGCAGAAAATGTGGCACGAATCTTCTTTTTGTTAGGACCACGATCTCGGTCTTGGCGACTGCCTTCTACAAACTGTGATTTGGCACCCAGTTGTTGGTTCTGACCATTGCAATTAATTCAGCGACGTCTGGCAATGTAGACATCGCAAGTTTGTTGCTCTCCTATAGCTCTTCTAGTCTACACCAGACTTATCATGTGTTGCAGAAACATTGTGCAGCTGATGCTGACCCACGAGACCTCCACGAACATCGTAGATGTGAAGGGTTCCAGCCCACTACACCTAGCTGCCTGGACTGATAATGTAGACATTGTCAAGTTGTTGCTCTCCTTCTCCTATAGTCCTTCAGTAGTCTATATCGGACTTGTCTTGTGTTGCAGAAACATTGTGCAGCTGATGCTGACCCACGAGACCTCCACGAACATCGTAGATGTGAAGGGTTCCAGCCCACTACACCTAGCTGCCTGGACTGATAATGTAGACATTGTCAAGTTGTTGCTCTCCTTCTCCTATAGTCCTTCAGTAGTCTATATCGGACTTGTCTTGTGTTGCAGAAACATTGTGCAGCTGCTGCTGACCCACGAGGCCTCCACTAACATCGTGGATGTGAAGGGTTCCAGCCCACTACACCTAGCTGCCTGGACTGATAATGTATACATTGTCAAGTTGTTGCTCTCCTATAGTCCTTCAGTAGTCTATATCGGACATGTCTTGTGTTGCAGAAACATTGTGCAGCTGCTGCTGACCCACGAGGCCTCCACTAACATCGTGGATGTGAAGGGTTCCAGCCCACTACACCTAGCTGCCTGGACTGGCAATGTAGACATCGTCAGGTTGTTGCTCACCCATGGCCCATCAGTTCCTAACGTCAACCTCACTGTAAGTACAGTTTTATACAGTAATGTTATATATTTAAAAAATTGGGTTTTCTTTTACGAGTTCGTTTGTACCCGACCCATTTTCATGATTGAGGTCTCAAATTGAAGGCATGCACGCACAGATGTCACATCAAGCATCGGCATACATTTATCCATCATCCCACTTGGCTTACACGTTAACGAAATTTGCTCCCATGTTTTCCTTATGGGAGTTAAATTTGGTTTTTCTTTTCCGAGTTCGTTTGGCTTTTCTACCCGATCCATTTTTCTATGATTGAAGGGTCTCAAATTGAAGGCATGCGCACCAAGTTTTCACATAAAGCATCGGCAAATATTTACCTACTGTATTACTCAACAAATTATATGCGTCAATTTGAGCTATTAATAGTTTAATCAGTTAAGCTCAAGATACTGTATTACTCAATCAAAAATCATAAATTTGATTATTTCTCGGATATTATATTTATTTTAACGCTGCAGAGCAGCATGGGTCCTCTAGTTTTATGTTAATTAGTAGTTTAAAATTGTTTAAGTGGTGATCGGACTACATGCCTTTTCATTCTTACGAATTCATATAACTTCATGAATGATTTTAAATAAAGGATACTATGTAGATAATTCTTTACCCAAAGTAGATTTTATGAAAGTTCTATCAGTTAGCATTTTTTTACCTTTTCCAAAAATAATTCCTCACCTAGATGGTAGTTCTAGTTTCGCATTATTTCTTACTTATTTTGTAAGTAACATTGAAAAACATTCGGTTATGTTTGTTATGTAAAACGTATTATGTAGGGGAAAGTATCCTCTTTCCCAGGATTTCAATAATTCAGCATTTGCTTGGTATAAGTTCAACTTTGTTTAACAATGTCTGCAGAAGTACAATTTATATTGATAAAACTAAATCTTATGGTGTCATTTAACAACTAAATAAATTCGACACCTTTGGAGTTGTACAGAAGATGGTTCTAATACGAGTGTGAAAGCGCAGTAGATTATCTCCTTGCAACTGAATATTTATCTTGCAATGTCAAGCAGACAGTCAATTTATGCGATTGTCCTGGCGTCTTAAAAGGAATCGATTATCTCTTAAGCCTATAATTCCTTTTAGAGCTAAAGGATTGTTTTGTCTGAACAAACGACTTTGTAAAACGTAGAGTTACAGGAACAATACCTGGGTTGTTCGGGGAGCCATTAAATCAATTAGTTGGTCTTTGTACTTGTCACCAAAGAATCCCCCACCCTCCAAACCACCCTTCACCTTCCGTCGTCATACTTGTTAACTAGTTAAACAATGGCCGTCTAACTTTGTACCTTGGTAACTTCCTTAGTTAACTACTTGCTGTCTGATAATAGCTTTCTTACAACTACTGTATGTCTTGCTTATTGTACAGACAACCGGACATATACGTGTGTAAACAGTCATTGGAAAGTCCGTGATTCGTTGTTTTGTTTACGATACATCAACGAAGAATTAATTGCTTTGATGGTTTTTACACTTTTCAAAGTTGTTATTTGTAATGTTTTGTAAACACTTTAAAATGCCTATTACCGGGTTTAAAGTAAATAATATGCATCGGAGTAAGTTTTATGTGTGGTTCTGAGATTCAACTTCTTAGTGGATATATCGTCGAACGGTTTACTTCAAACATCTCTGTTATCTGTTAATGTGACAATGGCAAATGGCTCTCATTGATTTGAAAATTAATTATTTCCTTAATATAGGATTGTGCATGAAGAGAATATAACCTGCCTTAATATCCCCTTGGTTTTTTTGACGGCAATAGCATAAGGTTTGCTCGGCGTGTGCTGTGACTGCTATAGTTATCGAATAACGAAATGTAACCATGAATAATTTGTAGGAAAATGTTTTGAGTTGTTCCAAATATGGATTAGAGCTCTAAAATGGTTTGGACCGTTCCAATCGGCATTATTCTCAATATTATTTTTACTCAAGTAAATTGAAAAGAATAGTAAGATTACATTTCTATCTACACCTAATAGGCCTACAACATTCATTAAGTTTAACTTAGGTTCCTTTGCCACGGGGAACACTCAAGATGTTTTAATCAATTTCCGTGATAAATAAAATTTCACCATTGTATAAACGATTAGAAGACCATAAACTTTTCGTACTATAGTGGTTCTGATAACAGGATGCTTTCTTTTTGCTTTATTTTAACGAAAGCAGTTGAAATGGCAAAACAGTTGGTTGAGTTTACCAAAGCTGACTTGATTCACTACTCACTCAACATGGATTGACAAGCTCGGCTTTGTGAGATGCGAGATGTGATTACGGGCCAATCCCATCGCAAAGTCACGTGTGAGAGAGCGATTATCTCAAGTGTGAGCTGCGAGGGTCCACGCCAATATGTCGCACCCCGAGGTGTTTGACAGTCCTCGTTAAACACCAATATTGCCCCCTTCAAGCCGATATTGCAAATATTTTCCAGATAAAATCTCTTAATCCGAGTGGCCGGCTCAAGTCTAATATTGCTAGTGTAAGGGTTTTGACACACAATAATAACCATTGCGACAGCAAATTCATTATAGGTTTTTACGGCCTTTGCGCCAGAGAAAATCTTGGTTGAGGACAAGTGGAAATATATTGAAGTTAAACGGTTTTAGACCTACTTAGACAATGTTTTGAATTAAGTTATTTTGATTGGTTATGCAAAGTGATCACATAAAGGTAATACTTCCAAAAAGTCGACACAAGCACTATATAGAGCTATGCCAATCCTTTTATTCGGTTTTTGGTGGTGTTTTATAATTGTTGGTGCAAAAGAGGGTTTAATATTTTATAATTTTTGAATGAACGAAGTGAATTCTCATACTGGTGTGAAATGCATCTTTATATTGATCGAAATCTCTAGAATGACTAAAGTTATAAACTTGATGTGTTGCACAAAAATTCTATACCACCTTATCTTGCGACCATTAGTTGTTCAAAAATATTTGTTCCGTAATTATTATAAAATCTTAAAAAAACATTTTTAATTTTGTCCCATAAGATTAACATTATGAGCTACCTTCTTCTTCTTTTTATTTGTTTACATTTTATGACCTACAATTTTGTCGTTTACTTGAGACAAAGAGAACGATACTCTTTCATCCATAGAGTAACAGTCATACCATATTCACATTATAACTCTACAATTTCTAGGATAATAATGTATTTACGAAGGAGTTAACAAATTATCTACTAAAATGTATCACAATTGATTGGAAAATAAATATTTACATGTTTATTCTACAGGCTACGTTGATGCGATTCTTCAGTACGCTGTGCTTTATAATAACATTGAGTTTATACTCAATGATGATAAGTACGACGCGACGGTAAACGATGCCGTGGGTGAAAGTCTACTATTGTTTCCTAAATTGCTAAAAGTTAAGTGTTATCTTTGACTAATTAATATTAGATAAGATTTCACTATCTAATAATCAATGGTTTTAGTTATTTTCGTTCTGGTTATTCTAAATTAAATTTCAGTAAGGCCTCGCGTCGGTGGCTTTATCAATTCAGCCAGTCATTCAAATGTTGCCCCAAAATATTTAGATAAGTTACTGTACTTTCATATTACTGTATAATGATATAACATAAGTACTAAGACTTTTTTTTATCAAATAAGGTTTTTTTTCATTTAATATATCTTTTTTTCATCGGTCGTCTGCAGTTCACTCGCTAACTAAGACAGAATCAGAAATGCTGCCTTAAGTTAAGTTTAGTCTTAGAACATACTCCTCAAGGTTTAGTGCATTCTGCTATTGATAATAAGACGGCAATCTAAGTAGGTTTTAAAAGTTTGTGAATAAAATCCTATCCATTTAAATTACGTAGGTAAGTAATGCAATCAAACTGCATTTTAGATTCAACTCAAACCTCATCCATTTTAAGGTTATCCTAGAACAAGTAGACTCAGTTCTGATGAAGAGCGGATGAAACTCAGCCAATGGACACATGAATAGGCAATAGGAAGGAGCTTTCCCGAATTTGGTCTGAATAAGTGACAAATTTTAGTGAGTTTAATATTGAACTCTCAGTCGACTATGTGCCAACTGAGCTTATGGACCCTTCATCAAGTATTGAACACTAAATACTGTAGGTCAATAAGTGGGAACGGAACCAACTGCTTCAAAGAGCTAGCCCACTTATAATAATGCTGCTAAGGGCCCATAACAAAAGGACTACGCTTAGATAACCAAGAAGTGAATATCAAGACGTACGGTACGAGCAGACATAAAATTGGGCTCACAGGTCTTCATCGATTGTACCAAGGCAGTGGAAGAATGGTGAGACAGACTTCAAAATATAGCCTAAACAGTATAAACTTTTGAAGGAAGGCGGTGAAGCGAGGAAGTGCTGTGTTATGTAAAGTTGTTTTGTGTAAAGTGTGTCTGTTGACATTAACTGCTTAGACGACCGTGTTGCCTAGCCTAGGTATGGCCTGTTAAGTGTTTTGTTAAAATCTGTGTCTAATGATGTCACAGTACTATGTTTATTTATTCAAACAACAATGTGTGTTTAATGTCTTTTTCACCGTCAAAGAATGTAGGCCTACGGTAGAAAGTTTAAACTAAGAAAGGTAGGCCTTAATATAACCCTAACTTACCTAAATAGACCTAAAAAAGTAATGTAGAAAGTTTAAACTAAGAAAGGTAGGCCTTAATATAACCCTAACTTACCTAAATAGACCTAAAAAAAGTAATGTAGCCTATAACTTTCTTTTAGCTACTATGTAAATTTGTGTCCTTATAGTGTAGGCCTACTTAGATTAAGTTACCCGGGGAACGGTTTCGCAGAGAACCTAGCCTACGATAATTTTTATCAGATGAAATATTTTTGTTTAACTTAATATGGCCTAGCCTATATGCCATAACTTATCGTAATCGGTTCACTTTTAGGCGATACAACTTACCATGTAGGCCAAGGCCTATTTCAATATTGAACAATTTATGCCTAAGATCTTTTTTAAAGGAGACTCTTTACACTGTGTAACT